TCCATTGTCATGGACAATAAGCCCCGCCGTCCTTTAGTCCTGTAGAAGTTTTTCGGACCTGGAAAAGTTGATAAGTACAAGGTTTTTTTGTTGATTTGTGTTCTAGATGGGTATTGAAGTAAATTCAGCTTGGTTGCCAGCTTGACAACCTTGGGCAACTGTTTTAATAGCCATATTAGCATAATCCTCTAATTAGCATATGTGCAATTTGTAACAATGTTGCTAATCTCAATCCAGGAAGCCTGAAAACATGGGTAACACGACTTTTCAAGGGTTTGATATGACAAGGAATTCATTTATTATACCAATTCTTATTTTTAAGTAATAAAATTGTCTTAAATAGCATAATTAGCATAATATGTACAATATTTAGACTTCATTGTCATTGTTTATCTATAAAGCCTAAAAATGGTGCAATGCAACATTGTAAATGACCTTTTAAAAGATTACACATCAATTCATTAGAAGATATTTCATGTAGATGTCGTATAATTAGCCTAATTAGCACATACGCTAGGTGTGCAATATGTAATAATGTTGCTAATCTCAATCCAGGCAGCCTGAAAGCATGGATAATACGACTCTTCAAGGGTTTTCTATGACGAGGAATTAATGTATAACACCATTTTTTTTATTCCAAGTAATGTAATTGTCTTAAATATCACAATGAGCATAATGAGCTAATAAGCATGTGTACAATATAATATGGACTTCATTGTCATTGTTTATCTATAAAGCCTAAAAATGGTGCAATGCAACACTGTAAATTACTTTTGAAAGACTAGTCATTAATTCATGAAAAGATATTCCATGTAGATGTAGTACAATTAGCCTAAATAGCAGATATGTGCAATATGTAATAATGATGCTAATCTTAATTCAGGAAGCCTGAAAACATGGATAATATGACTTTTCCAAGAACTCTGCCACAAGCTTGAGCAGCGTCGGGCTTGTACTCTGGCTTTGGTAAAACATAGACGAATCATAGTTCGCACTGTTGTATTCAACTTCCCTGGCCTATGTACGTACCTGTCTCACCACATTATCAATTCCATCATTATCATCTGCTTTAACCATCTTCAGTGTGTTTCCGACGGTCTCTCTAAATACAATTACTGAAGCCCAACCTTCAATGCGTACACATTTCATGAGGTTCGACAACATTGCCTTGCAACCAAAATAACCACTACATTGGAGTCCCAAATAATTGACATTCTACATATATGCTAATTAGGATTATTAGCACAATAATTACATATTAAGCCAATTGCATTACTTAGAAATAAAGAATGGTGTCACAACTACATCTACTTGGAATATCTTCTAATGAATTGATGTGTAATCTTTCAAAAGGTCATTTACAATGTTGCATTGCACCATTTTTAGGCTTTATAGATAAACAATGGCAATAAAGTCCATTTATCGTACATATGCTAATTAGCTCATCATGCTATTTAAGACAATTGCATTACTCAAAAATAAATACTGGTGTCATAAACGAATTCCTCGTCATAAAAAATCCTTGAAAAGTCACATTATCTATGTTTTCAGGCTTCCTGGATTAAGATTAGCAACATTATTGCATACTGTACATATATGCTAATTAGATGATTATGCTAATTAGGCTAATTATACTACATATACATAGAATATCTTCTAATTAATTCTTGATTAATCTTTCAAAAGTTATTTACAATGTTGCATTGCACCATTTTTAGGCTTTATAGATAAACAATGACACTGAAGTCTATATATTGTACATATTATGCTAATTATGCTATTTAAGACAATTGTATTACTTAAAAATAAAAATTGGTGTCATAAATGAATTCCTTGTCATATGAAACCCTTGAAAAGTCGTATTACCCATGTTTTCAGGCTTCCTGGATTGAGATTCGCAACATTATTACAAATTGCACATATGCTAATTAGAGGATTATGCTAATATGGCTATTAAAAAAGTTGCCCAAGGTTGGCAAGCTGGCAACCAAGCTGAATTTACTTCAATACCCATCTAGAACACAAATCAACAAAAAAACCTTGTACTTTTCCAGGTCATGTACATGGTATATGGTACCGTCTACTGGACTACTTCTCAGTGCAGTCGAGGAGATAGTAGATTATTATACGGATCTCAATGAATGAGGTGGGAATGGGAAGGGCTGGATTGGGGTGGGGCGAAGAGGAAGGGGTGAATTCATCTAGGATGAAGCAACTGATATATAATGTGTTCTCAAAAAAACGAAATTAGGGTAGCGGTCAATAATACATAAAATAAGACCTGATTCAAAGTGACAGACATGATTAGCTGACTAAACCAAAGTGCATGGTGCGGTTCAAAGCTTTCACCATACCCCCTACCTCCCATTAAATGCCCCCTCTCAATTGAAAGCAAGATCAATTTTGTGATGGGGGCAATATGTTGTGAAGGGTGTGGTGCGTGTTGAAAAGAGGTGCACGATGTCGGTTGAGTGATACATAAAACAAGATCTAGATCCAGGTAAAAGTCATGAGTTTCAGTCTGAAGCATGAAGAGAATTATTTATTTATTTATTAAAGCATCTTTATACAGGATAATATGTTCAGCATTCTCTTTTTCAACATGGTCTTGTTAAAGGTAATACACAATTTTGATATAGGGTCATGAATTTGGTTCAAATGAACATATTGGAAGCATATGCGATCCTACAATATTTAGTGATCGTTGTCGCGGTTGAAATCGAGTCTAAAGTTATGAAATTATAAATAATTAACTCTTTATGCTATATAGCTCCCTCTCAGGGTCAAGATATTAATTAAGCTATAAAACAATGTTTCTTGACTAAAATCGACCGACTAGCTATTCCCGTTTGGAAATTATATATCAAAACTACATATTCAGAGATTTTCAAGGTCGCAGCTACTATTGTACGGCCGTAGGCGCTATTTGAAATTTATCAAAATTTACCGGGAGCACCGGTGAATTTTAGCATGAGCTAAATCCAGGATTTTGTTACAGAATCAGAAACAAAGATACCCAATGCCTTTTTAGGGATTGGGTAAATTTGCCTTATATTCTTAAAATAAACCTGGATTTAGCTAATGCTACAATCATAATTATAAACCTTGAGGAATTAAAACCAAAAATTGCATATTCTATATGGTCAACATTTGGTCGGCAGAAATCCTGTCATGGATTCAAAAAGATAAGAAAAGTACATATTCTATATGGTCAACATTTGATATTGTTATCATGAAACATAAGAGAAAGATACGCAGGAAGGCTATCTTTATCATTCCCTTAGCTCTTTGCATACAAAGCGGAATATTAACTTGGTGCAAATCTGAACCTATGTAGTGGGGTCGCTAGATGCGGAGGGGTAATTATTGCAAGGAGTTACTACACAGCCGTATCAGGACAATCACCGCGCCCCGCCCCCCCCCCCGAAGGACAACCACCTCCCCCCCCCCCCCCGAGGACAATTACATCGCGGAAAATTTCCCCCTAGGACAATAATTACCCCCCCCCCCCGGAAAATTACCCTGTTCATTAACGGTACTATCCCATTTGCAGGTCAAAATAATGAAAAGGGTAAATTACAACGACGTTTGAAAGACAATCAATTATTTAGAACTTCCCTCAAAACGAAAGGGTTTGAAAAAGCTTTTCTTGTGGGAAAATAACGACCATTAGTTGTCGAATCGACATACTCGACATAAGTGATTTCAATCACCTAAGTTATATTCTGATTTTCAAACCCTTGTACCGAATGGTCGTACATTTTCTGCTGCACAAAGATTCAATCAGTTTAATGTTGGCCAGTACAAGTCGTGGGCTATTTTTTTTTTTTTAGCGGATGTTTCTGCATTTATTGATAAATCAAATATAAAACATTCAAATAACAATAATAGAATATAATATAATTGATTTACATCAAGAGTGACAACTTAATACACACAAAATAAAATATTTTTAAAAAATGCATAATTGAAAGCTTGAAAGTATGGAGGTAAGTAAAATTATCAAGATGCAGAGGCCAACTATCATAAGCAAGGAAGCTTAAGTCGATAGCAGCCGGGAAGGGGGGGGGGGGGTTACATGGCGCTGTTTTAGGAGAATGTAGGGGAATAGAGAGTCACATATAAAGATTTTGTTCAGAAAGTATCTGAATAAAAAGTGGAAAGAAATTAATAAAAGAAAAAAGAAGAAATTGATGATGTAGACACATGTGCTCATGTACGTGTTAAGATGGTCACAAATCAGAGCTGCGACCGACCGATCAGTAGCTCGGTCGCTGCTGGAATTAGGCATCGCCCAGGCACCGAGCGTATTTTGGGCGGCGAGTGAAAAGTGAGCAGGCGCCGCCCAAATTTTAACTCCGCGCTAAAACTTCAGCGGCGACCGAGCGATGCCCTAAAAACGAGCGGTGCCTGGGCGGCCGCCGCTCGGTGGCCGGGCAGCCGCCGGGCAGAATTGGTTAAAAACTCGGCGCTCAGCCGCCGAGCAGGCTTCTTTTTGGTAATGTGACCATAGCATTACAGCTCATTTTACGTTATTAACAAAGAAAAAAATATGTCAATCAGTCACTCGATAGTGTCTGACAGGGAAGTCTACAAATTCTTAAAGCTTTCTTTTGAAGTTTATAAAGGGGTTCTAGGTTAGTTGTCCCCACACCGGCCTAGGTGATATTACAGTAATGTAAATAATGCAAAATTAAACAATTATACTACATAAAAAAATCCTTTTTCAGGCAGACAGTACACGTAATTTACAAACATCACCAATGATTTTAGATATTTTGTTAGTTATATACAATCGATGATCCTGAAAAGATAACGTGTCATCCAAAAGGATACCAAGGAATTTAACAGAAGAGCACACGCTCAAATTTATATTGTTTATGAATATTTGTACATCATTAATATTGCAAGGATTAGTTTTTTATGAAAATAAAGTACAATTGTTTTGTCATAATTTATAAACAATTAATAGCATTAAACCATTCAGCAACCTCTACTAATTCTTTCTTTACTTCCGACGTTTATTTATCAAAAAAATTATGAGATACAATCAGGTTTATGTCGTCAGCAAATAAGACAAAATGAAAAAAAGATGAAGCAGAACAAAGGTCATTCATGTAAATTAAAAATAGGAGAGGACCCAGCATGGAGACCTGTGGGACTCCATACTGGATCCTCTCTCTGTCAGAAATAAAGCTGTTGTATGATGTGAATTGAATACGATCACTTTAATAAATAGTCCCTGAACCATTCCCAAGCAATTCCACGTATACCAAAATACTGTAATTTAGTGAGGAGAATATCGTGGTTAATGACATCGAAAGCTTTTGACAAATCAAGAAACATGCCTAACGTATGCAATTTTAATTTAATTTATTGAGAATGTGATCATAAAGGTCAATTAGAGCATGTCCACATGATGATTTTGTTTCTAAAACCATATTGAGAAACATTCAGAAAATTATTTGTATTAATATGATTAAAGAGCCTATTTTAAATTAATTTCTCCAGTATCTTAGAAAGACAGGGGAGTAATGATATTGGTAGATAATTAAAGAATATGTGGGGATCACCCTTTTTTAAATATGGGTATGATATTTCCTTTAAAATTCTTGGGGACTTTTCCTGACAAGAAGGAGAGGTTACATATAAAAACAATAGATTTAACAATAAAATGTATAACATGTTTAATAATGTATTGACCTATTCCTTCAAAATATGTGCTCTTAGTATAATTGAGCATTTTGACATTATTCAAAATTTCTGTTTCATTGGTAGGATGAAAAAATATTGATTTGCTATAAGGATCTCGTAATAATGAACTAAAATTGGACTTAGTATTTTGAATATGTTCATATTTTAGATTTGTAGCAATATTAGAATAATAAGATTTAAATTCATTTACAATCAGTTGACGATCAGTTAAATTGTTCTTACCCTTAAGAAAATAATTAGGATATTGACATTTTCCTTTTTCATTATTACAATCCCAAGTTTTAGAAATATTATATCTATTCTTCTGTAATAAATCACAACAATATATTTTTCTTACAGACTGTAACATTTAGTTTAATTTATTTCTACATTTTTAAAATCTACATTCACTGCTGTCGTTTCTTTTCTGACAAAATGTATTATACAATCTATACTTTGTGTTAATCTTCTTCTTTTTTTTTTACCAGTGAAGAGGTTATCCAAGGTTTTCGTGGCAGTTTTCTTTTCTTCACTTTACGAACATCAAAGTTATGATCATACACAGTTTTAAATGTGTTTAAAATGAATTATAGGCTTCATCTACATCACACAAAAAATAATTCATTCCATTCTAAAACAGATAAATCCCTCTGAAATGAACCTAAACTTAAAGGATCCGTTTTCCTTATATGAAAAAGTGAAGATATTCTATGACAATGACTAATAGAGAGGTTGGTTATTCATACTATAATACGTTTTACATATGAAGGATACCCAGCAATTTTCCGAACTAATCAATTTTTGATTTTATATAACAATTACAAGCCTTGGAACAAATCAGCATGCAACATTTAAATACAATATAAAAAAAGAAGAACACAACAACTAAAATGAAAGAAATTACATCTATAAGGTAATACTGAAAGGGGTTTAAGGTGTGTACAGGTATCTCAAGATTGTTCGTGCCATGTTTAATTGCGTGATCAATCCAAAATGCTGCCCTCTCAGCTGGTCTCATTGGTCGATCTTGGAAAGCGGATGACATCCGTTTTGCTGTTTTCGTATAGGTTGCGTTGGTCGTAACTTCATGCAGCGCGTCATACAGATTTTCTGCATTCATAAAACCTTTGTCCAATTTCAAGCCCAAACCGTGGTGCACGATTCTTGTTGCAACGTCATTCTGGTCACCAAATATAGGCATTACAACTACTGGAACACCGTGATAGATGGCTTCATAATAACTATTTTGACCTCCATGGAAAAAGAGAGCTCTTGTTTGGGGATGGCCTAGGATATCGTTCTGGGGCAACCAGGGTAAGATCTTGATGTTTGCAGGAATCGGAAATGGAGGTGGGGTCTTCAGAAGCCAGATGACTCTTTGTGGCAATCTATCGAACGCTTCTGCAAATATCCTAATCACATGGAGATTAGAATCGTCTAGGATAAGGAAAGTTCCAAATGCACAGATGATGATTCCGTCGTCGCCTGACCCTTGGATAAAGTCCTCTATGTCTGCAGGAAGTTCTTCTGCTGCCCTTGTTGTAAGACCCCCAACCTGTATGACGTTCGGGGCGAAAGCGCATGGGAACTCTCCGACAAAATCGCTATTGACTAACCACAGTTTAGAGTTTGTCAGAAGCTCCAATGGATCTGGTATGCCAAACCTCAATGTCAACTCTTTGTATGGAGCAACTAAGTTTGGACCTAAAATTTTTTCTAAAAGTGTGTAAACCAACGAGTTTATGACTCGTTCCTTGAAGTTCATCTTGTTAGAGTAAGATGTCATCATGCTTGGTATATACGCTGGGTGAAAAGATGATCCCTCAATTGATGTTACATGGCAGGAATAAGGGAATATAAAAAACACAAAGTATGGTAGATCAAGCAACTCGCCGACCATTGCACCGCACACCCACGTATAGTCGAACAATACTGCTGAGAAATTGGCAGCCCGAAGACGTCCAATTAAGGCTTCGTCCTCCAGTAAAGCCCTGCAGTCATTTAGTCGAGCCTCTTGCAACACAGATTGTACTGGCAACTCATATGTGACGTCTCTTGCCGAATCGGATATCAGTTTACTCAAGTTAGCGAACATGTCGTGGACTGCTTGCGTCGGAATTGGATGCTTAAAGACTTCCCAATGAAACATGTGACCATACCGGCTGCTTCTGGCATGATTCTCAAACGCACTACCGAGGAGAAAGGTGACGTTGTAGCCCCGGTGAATGAGCTGTTCCCCGATTGCTGCTGATGTGTAGAAATGGCTCCCTTTCCCAATCATTGGGTTTACTAGTATGTTATTTGCCGAAGTGTAGCTGATGACAAACATGACAATGATTAAACTACCCAGGAGTACATTTCGTGGCTGCGCCATCGGATCATCTAGGCTGTTGTGATTCTGTGGAAAAAAATGAATAATACAAAACAATTTTTAATGACCTATCCTGGTGTGTAATTATATTTTCTATCAAAAAAAATATTATCATTGAAACAAGAATTTTTGATGTGTGGCGATGTACGTATTTCTCAAAGGATTGTGATTGAGGTATTTAAAGAGGAAGCCCCTGGTGGACGAGCTGTTCCCCAATGGCCGCTGATAGGTAGAAATTGCTCCCTTTCCCAATCATCGGGTTTATCAGTATGTCCTCAGCTATCCCATAGCTCCTGATGAAAATCGCAAGAATAAATCCACCAGACATAATGACCCTTCTCAAGCATCAAGCCGTCATATTTTGTTTGAGGTAAAGCAAACACTGTATAGGAAGAGGATAAAACATATAGTTGTCATGGTTTTATATAATATTAAGACTGAAACGTTAGACAGCAGCATGAAAGAAAGATAAGAAGGAAAAGAAGAAGAAGGGAAAGGAGGATGATAAGGATTAGGGGAGGAACGTTCACGTATTCAGATGTTTAGGTATGACAATTTTGCAATAGACCGGTTTGTAATTACCACATGGTACACTCTAAAAACTGAAATGTTAAATGTCAATTTAAAAGGGCCGAGGAGTGACCACTCTTTCAAAATGTCAGATTGTTTCTTTTAACCTGCTAGATTCAACCTTTATAGTGTTGGATCCAGCACGTTTCAAAGTGTTAATCTACCATTTTGAAAGAGTGGTCACTCCTCGGCCCTTTTAAATGGTGATTTAACATTTCAGTTTTTAGAGTGTTACAAATGACACCAAATATCCACATGGAGAAGTCCCACTTTGTCCATTTTAGAGGCGCGTACTTAAATCCTTTTTTGTTTGTCCTCTTGAGAAGAAAACTTCTACCTGCATTCTATTAAATGTACTGTTGCATGGTACATAAATGAATAATGATTACATAAATTACTGATGGAAAGATATTCAAGATTAACTTGGCTTAAAAAAAAGAAAAGCATCAACTTATTTAAGCAATTTGCGTTCTGGTAATTGTAGTAAAAAGGATAGTAGCCGAGGAATGAAATGCCTAATCAGGCGCGTAGCCAAGGGGCGGTGGGGGCGGTCGCCCCCAAAACAAGACAAAAAAAAACGCCGGCCAAAAAAACAAAGAGAGAGAAGAGAAATAAATTTCAAAAAAGAGGGAGAAGAGAAAAGAAGGAAATAAAAGAGATAAAAGATAAGAAAAAAAGGGAGAGAAGAGAAAGGAATCAGCCATTGAAAAACTTTATGAAATTCAGAAAAGGATTAAGAGCCGAGAACAGTAAAACGAATCGTCTTCTTTCTCTAATAATATAATGAAATGTCCAAGCTACCCCGTTCTGCGCGGGAGGGGACGGATAATGATTTCAGACAAGCATTAAGAGTCGAGAACGGTACAGCGAATCATAATCTTTTTCTAATAATTTGATGACACGTCAAAGCTTTTGCGCCCTCACGCGGGAAGGGGGAACCTGAGTTCAGACAAGAATTAAAAATCGTTAACGGTACAAAAAATCGTCTCCTTTCTCTAATAAGTTTTTCTTCTTCTTCTTCTTCGAGATAATCTGCCTCCTTCAATACTGAAGATCCTTGCAGATGCCGTATTATACTCGGCCTGGTTGGGGTATGCAGGTGGACCATTACACCGGGGTTTCCCCCTACTCTTATACGAATAGTGCAATGGGTTCTTAACGTGCAAGGGTTGTGACTCTCCTGTACACGGGGCCTCCATTTAACGTCCTATCCGAGGGACGGAGTGTTTTCCACTTGACATAACCTGCATCTATGAACAAGGGAAGGGGCACGTTAACACACAACGCAGGCTTCAGTCATCCGCCTGGGTGGGAGTCGAACCCGGGATCTTTGGTTCGACAGGCAGACGCTTTACCGACTGAGCCAACTCGCCTCCTCTGAGCCAACGTCAAGGCTTCCGCGCTTCGCTTCGCGTGAGGGGACGGATAATGATTTCAGACAAGCATTAAGAGTCGAGAACGGTACAGCGAATCATAATCTTTTTCTAATAATTTGATGACACGTCAAAGCTTTTGCGCCCTCACGCGGGAAGGGGGAAACTGAGTTCAGACAAGAATTAAAAATCGTTAACGGTACAAAAAATCGTCTCCTTTCTCTAATAAGTTTTTCTTCTTCTTCTTCTTCTTCGAGATAATCTGCCTCCTTCAATACTGAAGATCATTGCAGATGCCGTATTATACTCGGCCTGGTTGGGGTATGCAGGTGGACCATTACACCGGGGTTTCCCCCTACTCTTATACGAATAGTGCAATGGGTTCTTAACGTGCAAGGGTTGTGACTCTCCTGTACACGGGGCCTCCATTTAACGTCCTATCCGAGGGACGGAGTGTTTTCCACTTGACATAACCTGCATCTATGAACAAGGGAAGGGGCACGTTAACACACAACGCAGGCTTCAGTCATCCGCCTGGGTGGGAGTCGAACCCGGGATCTTTGGTTCGACAGGCAGACGCTTTACCGACTGAGCCAACTCGCCTCCTCTGAGCCAACGTCAAGGCTTCCGCGCTTCGCTTCGCGTGAGGGGACGGATAATGATTTCAGACAAGCATTAAGAGTCGAGAACGGTACAGCGAATCATAATCTTTTTCTAATAATTTGATGACACGTCAAAGCTTTTGCGCCCTCACGCGGGAAGGGGGAAACTGAGTTCAGACAAGAATTAAAAATCGTTAACGGTACAAAAAATCGTCTCCTTTCTCTAATAAGTTTTTCTTCTTCTTCTTCTTCTTCGAGATAATCTGCCTCCTTCAATACTGAAGATCATTGCAGATGCCGTATTATACTCGGCCTGGTTGGGGTATGCAGGTGGACCATTACACCGGGGTTTCCCCCTACTCTTATACGAATAGTGCAATGGGTTCTTAACGTGCAAGGGTTGTGACTCTCCTGTACACGGGGCCTCCATTTAACGTCCTATCCGAGGGACGGAGTGTTTTCCACTTGACATAACCTGCATCTATTAACAAGGGAAGGGGCACGTTAACACACAACGCAGCCTTCAGTCATCCGCCTGGGTGGGAGTCGAACCCGGGATCTTTGGTTCGACAGGCAGACGCTTTACCGACTGAGCCAACTCGCCTCCTCTGAGCCAACGTCAAGGCTTCCGCGCTTCGCTTCGCGTGAGGGGACGGATAATGATTTCAGACAAGCATTAAGAGTCGAGAACGGTACAGCGAATCATAATCTTTTTCTAATAATTTGATGACACGTCAAAGCTTTTGCGCCCTCACGCGGGAAGGGGGAAACTGAGTTCAGACAAGAATTAAAAATCGTTAACGGTACAAAAAATCGTCTCCTTTCTCTAATAAGTTTTTCTTCTTCTTCTTCTTCTTCGAGATAATCTGCCTCCTTCAATACTGAAGATCCTTGCAGATGCCGTATTATACTCGGCCTGGTTGGGGTATGCAGGTGGACCATTACACCGGGGTTTCCCCCCTACTCTTATACGAATAGTGCAATGGGTTCTTAACGTGCAAGGGTTGTGACTCTCCTGTACACGGGGCCTCCATTTAACGTCCTATCCGAGGGACGGAGTGTTTTCCACTTGACATAACCTGCATCTATGAACAAGGGAAGGGGCACGTTAACACACAACGCAGGCTTCAGTCATCCGCCTGGGTGGGAGTCGAACCCGGGATCTTTGGTTCGACAGGCAGACGCTTTACCGACTGAGCCAACTCGCCTCCTCTGAGCCAACGTCAAGGCTTCCGCGCTTCGCTTCGCGTGAGGGGACGGATAATGATTTCAGACAAGCATTAAGAGTCGAGAACGGTACAGCAAATCATAATCTTTTTCTAATAATTTGATGACACGTCAAAGCTTTTGCGCCCTCACGCGGGAAGGGGGAACCTGAGTTCAGACAAGAATTAAAAATCGTTAACGGTACAAAAAATCGTCTTCTTTCTCTAATAAGTTTTTCTTCTTCTTCTTCTTCTTCGAGATAATCTGCCTCCTACAATACTGAAGATCCTTGCAGATGCCGTATTATACTCGGCCTAGTTGGGGTATGCAGGTGGACCATTACACCGGGGTTTCCCCCTACTCTTATACGAATAGTGCAATGGGTTCTTAACGTGCAAGGGTTGTGACTCTCCTGTGCACGGGGCCTCCATTTAACGTCCTATCCGAGGGACGGAGTGTTTTCCACTTGACATAACCTACATCTATGAACAAGGGAAGGGGCACGTTAACACACAACGCAGGCTTCAGTCATCCGCCTGGGTGGGAGTCGAACCCGGGATCTTTGGTTCGACAGGCAGACGCTTTACCGACTGAGCCAACTCGCCTCCTCTGAGCCAACGTCAAGGCTTCCGCGCTTCGCGCGTGAGGAACCCCCCCCCCTCCCTGCACCCACCCGCCTAGGGAGCGCACTCCGCGTGCTCACTACCGCCCCCTAAAATAAAATCCTAGCTACACTCTTAAAATGTTGGGTAAATTTAGTTGGGTAATTGTTGGTTGGTTAAAAAAATTCGTTATTCTGGGCTATTATTACCCATTTAAGCATTTAAGTGTTTTAACCAATATTGGGCAATTATTTTTACTTAATTATTGGGCGGATATTTACCAACAGTATTGGTAAATGAGGGTTGGGAACCAGTTGCCCCGTAGTTGTGTAATTTTGCCACATTTCCTTTGCGAGTTGGGTAAATTTTGTTGGGCAACTGATGGTTGGGTAGAAATTCGCCTAGAAATTTACCAACATTATTTTGCAAATTAGGATTGAGTAATTTTTGCCTGTAGTTGTGTAATTTTGGCACATTCCCACTGCGAGTTGGGTAAATTTCGTTGGGCAACTGATGGTTGGTCGAGAAATCGTTTCCAAAGTTGGGTAATTTTTATCCCAATCTATTTCAGGGCATTATATTTACCCAATTATTATACATTTAGCAACAACATCGTTCCAAGGAGTTGAGAGCAATTTACCAAGTAGTTGGGTAATTGTTAGATGCTGAGGAATATTACTCATCACCACTTACCCAATTTGACTTTGCTCAAATTTTGTTTGCTCATATTTGGGTAATAATTGACCACCGCCTCTTACCCAATTTTACTTTGCTCAAATTTTTGTTTGCTCATATATTGGGTAATAAATGACCACCGCCTCTTACCCAATTTCACTTTGCTCAAATTTTTGTTTGCTCATATATTGAGTAATAATTGACCACCGCCTCTTACCCAATTTTACCTTGCTCAAATTTTTGTTTGCTCATAATTATGCTGAGTAATAATTACCCATCACCACTTACCCAATTTTACTTTGCTCAAATTTTTGTTTGCTCATATATTGGGTAATAAATGACCACCGCCTCTTACCCAATTTCACTTTGCTCAAATTTTTGTTTGCTCATATATTGGGTAATAAATGACCACCGCCTGTAACCCAATTTTACTTTGCCCAAATTTTTGTTTGCTCTTATGCTGAGTAATAATTACCCATCACCACTTACCCAATTTTACTTTGCTCAAATTTTTGTTTGCTCATATATTGGGTAATAAATGACCACCGCCTCTTACCCAATTTCACTTTGCTCAAATTTTTGTTTGCTCATATATTGGGTAATAAATGACCACCGCCTCTTACCCAATTTTACTTTGCCCAAATTTTTGTTTGCTCATATGCTGAGTAATAATTACCCATCACCACTTACCCAATTTTACTTTGCTCAAATTGTGTTTGCGCATAATTGGGTAATAATTGACCACCGCCTCTTACCCAATTTTACTTTGCTCAAATTTGTGTTTGCTCATATATTGGGTAATAAATGACCACCGCCTCTTACCCAATTTATTTTGCCCATATTTTTGTTTGCTCATATGCTGAGTAATATTTACCCATCACCACTTACCCGATTTTACTTTGCTCAAATTTTTGTTTGCTCATAATTGGGTAATAATTGACCACCGCCCCTTACCCAATTTATTTTGCCCATATTTTTGTTTGCTCATATGCTGAGTAATAATTACCCATCACCACTTACCGAATTTTACTTTGCTCAATTTTTGTTTGCTCATAATTGGGTAATAATTGACCACCGCCCCTTACCCAATTTATTTTGCCCATATTTTTGTTTGCTCATATGCTGAGTAATAATTACCCATCACCACTTACCGAATTTTACTTTGCTCAATTTTTGTTTGCTCATACATTGGGTACTGATTTGACCAACGCCTGTTACCCAATTTCACTTTGCGCCTTTTTTTGTTTGCTTATATAGGGTAGTAATTGACCACCGACTTTTACCAAATATATTTAGCTCAATTTTCTTTAGCTCACAATATGCTGTGTAAATATTGCTATGAAAAATTGAAATTATCTCTCCTGTAATTGTAACCATTTACTTCTATTTTAAAATTATAATAACAGAGTGTTGAAGCGACGATGAATTTGTGCGAGTTTGATGCTGAAAGAGTCCAAGATTTATCTTTTGTGAAAACTGAGCCATCTTAACCATGTAGGCCTATAGAGTTAATCTACGTAAGTAATGATCATGGAACGTACACACTATCATCGTCAATTACGCGCATGCGTAAATGGCAGTGGAAACCTTCAATGGGGACTAGACTTACGTTTAACCAGACTTGGGTAAAGTTTGCCTGGTATTGGTCTTGGGGTAGCGCGCACATGGCCTGGTCGCTCGCGATCAGCATGCCATGCGCAGTACTATTTCTATTTACTCGTATACTAGCCGGCGCGGCCGTCCCGGCCCGGGAGCTCGAGCTATATGATACACCAACGTAACTAGCAGCCTGTACGTACGTCGTACGTACATACGCATCATATCGGAGTCTTGCATGCTAGAGCCTGAAGGTCTAAAAATGGAGCTCGACAACTGCTGCGGAGATAGTTCAAGTGAAGATGGGTTCATAGACCCTCTCACCAAAATCGTTCAAAGGTGGGGATGTCCGTCAGTGTTAAAGATACTAGAAGGTACGTTCACATCTTATTGAGATTAGAAGTTTAGAACATGATCAACAGGTACTTGCTGTAGACTTGTTCCCATATCCATAACACATGGGCAACATGTAGACTAGTTCTATATGCCTCAGCAATGGTTAATGAATACGCTTCAATTCAATTGGTCTATTAAACTTTGCCTCAAATTTGCTCTTTTAATGCATGTGTTACTAATCCAAACTAATATTTGATTGATATAGATATCAAATTCAAATTGTACTGTTTCCATGAATTTTAGATCACAAATGAATATTTAAAAATATTTTGTTCAAGATTTTACAAAACCCAAAGCCAGGCCAAAACCCGGATTTCTGTGCTGTTTCCTGCTACAATACATACATAACACAATACCCTCCATTTTCTATGGATCATGGGTTGTATGGGGTCCAATCACAGAACTCTTAAATACGTATTTAAGAGTTCTGTGGGTCCAATACATTGGACCACATACTTGTAGGTGTGTACCCAGATAGTATTACAGTACGTGGGACTGGTGTAATTTTGAACAATTATCTCTGTTATCTGAAATTGGTATTACTATACTAGATCTAGTCTAGGTCTAGATCTAGATCTAGGCCTACTTATATTTAATAATCAACACTGAACTGAATGATTCATCAGAAAATTGAAGTTGTCAAATAATGTACAATTTTATGAACATTATTTTGTGGAAGATCATCTTATGATCTTTCATTTTCCTGTAGATCTAGAAGTCTAGATTTCAAAAAGTGAGACAATTTGTCTTGCCCATTGCCATGTTAAGGATTTTGCCCTTTCATTTTCTACAGGACTTTAAAATCCAAACACTCTAAAAAAATGTTGGGCAAGTGCCCAATTTTTACCCAACATGAGGGCACTTATGTGTCCGACTAACTATTGGGTAAATTAAAGATTTTGCATGATTTACCCAGTGTTGGATGAAAAGAAAATACTCAACTTTTAACCAACAAAATTTACCCCAATAGGAAATTCACCCAATTCTCACCATAATGTGTAGTATATTCGACACTAGTTGGGCAAATTATTTCATCAGTAACTACATGGTTGATAGAAAATAACCCAATTATTGGACAAAAATGACCAACTTTAATTTGCCCAAAAATATTACCCAATTATTTCATCGGTAACTACATGGTTGGTAGAAAATAACCCAATTGTTGGACAAAATTTGCCCAACGTCAGTTTTACCAAGTAACACCTACCCAACTTATTTCTGACCTTTTATTAGGTAACTTCATACAGTAAATGGTTGGGAGAAATTATTTGACAAAAACGCGCCAAACTTTGATTTGCCCAGTAACATCTGCCTAACTTTGTTTTACAGAGCATAGACTCTACATCCTCTTGGTTTTAAATGGGGCTATTAATTATGTGCTATTGCGATATTCCTTGTCACAACTAAAAGGCAGTTGACCCACATTTTAGCCCATATTAATAGCCTAATTCAAAACCAAGAGGCTGTGGTGGTTTTCGAAATTGCAGTGACCTCGCTGTAGTACACGAATGGGCACAATTTTTAACATGGGTACATTTTTTCTCATTTAAAAAAATCTTTTTCTGAAAATAATTTTTAAATATGGAAAAATTACAGATGCTTAAGCCACCAAATTATGCCGACAAAATTGTACACTATTTTACTACATGTCCAGATTTCAATGAAATCATTAGAACCGATGGACGGATTACCATCCAAACTTGGGACATGTACATGTATCTTGCAAGTTGCAAAGCCAACGAACTGATTCGATTTTGGGATGGAGGTGCACATGGAGGAAGGACATTCGTTAGTACAGGATTAACTGTCCTATTTTGCTTCATATCAGTGAAATGTTCCAGCACATGCATTTTTTTTAATGTTTCACACCACTGAACAATAAGCTGTACAAAAGAATTATTAAACACCACAAATTATCTTTTCTAGGATAAACAATTGTCAGTTGCCTCTATTCAAGGTAACACACTATAATTTATATATGGTTGTATGGTACTGTAAGTGGCCTGTGAAAGGCTTGAGTGCTAGACTTTTTGAGAAACCCTGGTCAGATAAAGCTAGGTTATTTGTCATACTAAAGCTGAGAAACATGGCTACTAATGCAGACAATATCATGGCAGCCGCAAAAGGTTGAAAAAAACAATTAACGGTATGGCAGTTTAAAGTTGAAGTAATAGGCATGACAGTGCACATGGAGAAGACACATATGATTATCAATGAATTAGTAATGTTAATTAACCAATCAGCATACATTGACCTCTATGCTAACTCTCAAATCATTCTGATTCATTTGGTAAGTTGAATGACTTTCTTTGAAATCAAATTCATTGCTGATGCAACTAATCTTTATACTTTAAATAGGCCCCAACATTGTTAAAAATTAGGCACAATTTGACTAAACTAATGTGATTACTAGTATGACTTTAGAAAAGGTTTCCATTCTTAATTTGATTGTGTGGATGTTAGTAACATCACCTGAAAATAAATAGCAATTAGTTGATACAATTCGCTAGTATGATCTAAAAGTAAGTTTTCTATACGAAGACCAAATTTTCGAGAAAATCGCATTTGAAAATTCAGATTTTCATAGACCCTTGTGGAATAAGAAAACATTGATTATGCGATTTATTCAAAATGGAAGATATTTTAGCTGGAACATGAGCAAATGTTTACAGCTTATCATTATCTAAAACATATACTTTTGTTTAATTTGCGCAACCATACGTGTGTTTGTGGTATTATATGAAAACAATCAGTTTATGCTGCACTAAGCCTTATTTATCAATCTCTCCCTCTTCTTCTCCAGAAAATGAAGTTGATGTGGAAACCCTTCCCCTTCTAAGTGAAAGTATAATCACATCCTTCATACCCAAGATTGGACCTCGATTGAAGTTTCTCGCTGGGTGGCGTGCAGAGGTAGGCCCTAGATGTGGCACAATATCTCACTATGGATAGTTACAGATGCTTTCAGTGTCTTGATTTAATTAGGGGGGATATTTCTTGCCTATTCCATCATTTAAAATACACACATACAACAACCAGGGGAAAAAATGTAAGTATAACATGCATGCAAGGGGCATGTAGACTAACATTTCGTACATTATCGGGATATAGAAAACATCTCATTTCAAAGCACGCTGCACGGATAAAGACGTCAAGCACAACTACAAAAGCAGTTCCAGATCACCAAAGTGAAACCTGTTATGAAGGATCTGTTCTACATGTAGGAAAGAATAACAACACTGAAGGGAATTTGGAACAACTGCACCAGGAAAAGGCATTGTTTGTTGGAGAAAGCAGTGAGCAGGAAGATGTCTCTTTTGAAACGCAAACAGAGAGACTACCTGATATTGCAGCAAAGTTTGTAGCAGAACTCAGGGCAAGGACTAATGTGCCTGCTTCACACACCAACAAGGTCATTCAAACCGCACAAGATTTGGTTATTTCTGTGTTACAAACTGTGCAACAGGATGTGATGGATATCTTAAGTGAGCCACAATATGCAGCTAACAGTGAGCTGAGATCTGATATACAAGATGTATTCGAGAATTCAAAGAATCCATTTTCAGAGCTCATGTCAGATACTCAACAGAAAAAATATTTCTCTGAGAAAGGTGATTTCATTCAGCCTTGTGAGGTGTTGTTGGGAACTTGCTTAAAACCAAAAATTGATCAAAAGACAGGTGATCCACTGCAAAGCACACAAAAAGAAACCTTTCAATATATACCACTAGCTGACACTATTAAACAATACTTAGAGCGACCAGGAGTAATGAACGCCATACTGTCTCAAAAAGGATCAAAAGATAATGATGTTTTGTATTCATTCAAAGATGGTCACTATTATAAAAGGCAGGAAGCTACTGCTAGACAAGACTGTGAATTCTTAGTGCCTCTGTTGTTGTACAATGATGAGTTTGAGACAGCCAATCCGCTTGGGTCAAAACGCGGCAAACACAAGGTAAGTGCCTTTTATACAAGTGTGTTATCCCTTCCCAGGAAATACCAGGCTAGGCTGGAAAATATCATGCTCACAGCTATGATCACATCTCCGCTTTTGAGTAAATATGGCATCTCAGAAGTTTTGAAGGTAATCAAGGATGATCTGCAGCAGATGTGGACTGATGGACTCACTATCAAGTGCAAAGAGTTTGAGGGTAGGGTCAAACCCTACTTATTCCAAGTTGTAGGGGACAATCTTGGCATTCATGCCATGCTGGGATGTACAACCTGTTTCCGTGCCAACTATTACTGTAGATTCTGTAGAGGGCATCGCTCGTTGCTTCAGAAACAGCCAAAAGAGGATGCCCAATATCTCCGTGATGAAATAAACTATGATACAGATCTTCAAAAGCCCTTGTCAGAATCTGGCTTGAAGCATGCAACAGTTTTGAATGAATTGCCTTACTACCATTCCACCCAAAACTTATGTCCAGATGTAATGCATGATTTTACAGAGGGAGTCTTGCCCCTGGAAATGCACCTTGTTTTGAGTAAACTTGTTCAGAAGGGTTTCATAACACTGGATGAGGTGAACAGTAGAATATCCTCATTCAATTTTGGCTTTGTGGACCGCAAAAACAGACCAAGCCCAATCAGGCAGGCATCACTGAAGAATCCATATTCTGCCAGTGGACAGACATCAGCACAGATGACGTGCCTTGCATACAACATCCCTCTCATGATAGGAGACAAGATTGATGAGATGTGTGATGAGTGGGAACTCTTACTGTCAATCATTGACATCTTCAAAATCATTATGAGTCCCAGTATCAGTAAGTCTGCCATCTATGTCCTGAAGGCAATGATTGATGATCACCACAGGCTCTTCATGCAGCTCTTCCCTGAAGCTAGTCTAACTCCGAAGCAGCACTTTCTTGTGCATTACCCACGTGCACTGAAACACCTTGGGCCACTGACCCAGTATTCAGCATTGCGTTTTGAAGCAATGCACAGACCTTTCAAGCAGATTGCCAGTGTATCTTGCAACTACCAAAACATTGTCAAAACATTGGCTAACAGATACCAAATGGCACGGTGCTACAGGTCAGTATCAAATCAGTCACTGGATAGCCAAGATATCAATGTGTCACAGCAAGCTGCAGCAATGCTTGGTGATCTACTTGATGATGAGGCACTTTGCAAAAAAATTAACTGTGGAAGGGGAACCGAAGTTACAGTTGCTGGGAAAGTGGACATTCATGGATATGAGTTCCGGGCAGGTGTTGATGTACTTCTATATTGGACTGATGATGATGGACCCACGTTTGGACGTGTTCAGCATATTGTAGTGGTGCAAGAAAAGTTGTATCTGCACCTTCGGCTGTATCAGACCTTGTACTTCAACAGACATGTTGAAGCATTTGCAGTACAGGTGGGCAGAGAGGAAGCACAAGCTGCTGTTGAATGGTGTGACCTGTTTGATCACAGGCCAGTCAATGCTGTCCAGTCCTATAGTGGAAGAGGGCGCTGCTTGTATATTGTGGTGCACCATTCATTCATCTAGGAACAAGAAGGTACGTGTAGGCAACACGTTGCAAGCAAGTGATATATTTTTACAACTAGACATTACAGGTGCACTTGCAAATTTTGTCTTAGAGAACAGAACCAAAACAAAGCAAAAGAAAGAAACTGTTATTCCAATTACAATTATATCTATGAATCAGTTCTTAGTGTATCATTCTACATATTTTGATTGAAAAAATAGCTAAGAAGCTAACCTTGATCGATCTGTACTGACTTGCTAACAAATTTTGATTATTCCAATGAAAATTTTACAGTAAATATCTGGTTTGAATTTTTTAACTCGTTATTAACTTCATTGTTTCTGTATCTGAAAATGTGTCTGTTATATTTGCATTCATTCATATTATGTTGTAATTTCTTAAATGTACCATGACTCATGCCAAGTTTTTCTAGCATATGTACTTCATTGAGGCCCCGGAAATGTGCTATTTTTTACCAATGCATGTTCCTGCCTAAAGTGAAAGTTCCTAACTGGATATTATTATATTATAGATGTACTGAAGAAGCTTCGGCTCATGAGTGACCACTTTTCAATTATGGGTTTGCTTTAAACAGGACAAGGGTACAGAAACAGTGAGAATGATTTTCCCCTTCAAGGAATAAACTTGATACTAAAGTCTAACCTGGGGCTGTTTGTGTCATTAATAATGTAAAGAATAATCAGTCATTTACATGTACATTGAAAGTTCAATTATTTTTCATTTATTTATTGTAGTATCATGCTGCAAATCAACAAAGCATGGAACAAGCATCAACGTCGACAAGAAGCCCATCAGTGTTCTCCTTAGATGACTGCTCAGATCTCTCTTGTGTAACAGGAAGTGAGTGGAGTCCCAGACAAAGCCCTTCCCAGCCCAGTTTGGATACGCCACTTTACGACTCCCCAGAATCCAAGAGTCCTGATCAACATCCTCCCCTGAAACGGGTCAAGAAAGTGCATTTCGTAAGTTTATGTATATAGTGGGCTGATACAATTGAAGAGTGGGCATGTCGAGTCACCATCATTCATCAGTTTTTATGCCTCCCACACATAAGGGTGCCGGAGGCATTATGTCTTGGAGTTATCTGTCTGTCAGTATTTCTGACAAGCAGCAGGGCTCAAAGGTGAAAGGTCAGTTCAAAGGTTATTCAAGTTTTTACTAAAAATACCATTTTATTTCTACATCTGCAGAATGGCTAGTGATATGATTTGGTAGGTACATTTTGGTATGAATGAATAAAGGAATGTTATGGAAAATGTTTGGTTGGGGTTATGGGTTTTAAGCTAGTCTAAGGTCAGTTTCAAGGTTTCATTGAAATTTTTTATCAGAACAAAGTTTGCAAGGAATGCCCAGTGAGTGATTTATGATGGGCTTATTGTAGGAGGTCGGACAGCCAGAGATATACCCACCGTCTGCATGCTGTCACATTTCACTTGTTTATTCTGAATTTACTGATCTTTAAAAAAAAAATCCTTTATCTGTTGCAGAACATTGCTTGTATATTGAGAGAGACCACCATGGGAAGAGCAGCATTAAGGAACATCAATGCTACAAATCTCTGCAGCAAAAGGGACCGGCATACTGTTGTGGATATGTTGACTCAGTACCTGATACGGGAGTATGGTACCAAGCCAAGCTCATTTGTGAAGGCATCAATGGCCCATGCCCTTGTGACAAGCTTTCCTTTCTTAAAAGATCCAGAATCTCCACTTGGCTATGTAAGTCCTGTCCATGAATTGCTTTCCTTAATATATGTGACCTCAGGTATGGCTCAGATCACCACTTTTTTCTGGACTGATTTATGGATTGATTCTTACCACAGCGGGCATTTATTACTTGGAGGTGCCTTAATTCTTAGGTTGTCCATCCATACCTCCATCTGTCCCTACCCCACAGACCCCATTTACAAGAAAGTGAAATTTTATGAGAAGTTTCTGTTTGAGCCAGAAGCAATAAGCTACTTTAAGGTCTAAATCAAATAAATTATGTGTTTATGCAATAACTTTTGGAATACTGGATCATATTATTTTGTGTAACTTGCTATGAAGCTTCCTCAATTTTTTTATTCTTGTATTTATTATATTGGAGATGCTCAATCAATTGCATGTTGTATCACATTATCACAAGCATTATAAGAGCATCTCTGGCAATAGTAAATTTGACAGTAGACAGGCCTGAAAAGCTTACAAATAATGAAAAGCTAATATGGCATCAATCACTAAATCGTGCAATATTTTTGTTTATTTTTACCACTTGTTTATAAGTTATATTATCCAGTAATGACACATCTCTTAATATTTAGACTTTTGTCTGCATGCCATTGAGTAATGGATATTCACAGAATTATCCATCATTCACTTTGTTTTTGCAATGACCTGATGACATTGCTGGAATATAACAGTGTGCAGTTAGAAATAGGTACTTAAGAGGACAAACCTTGTTATTGCAAACACTGACATATGTAACAAAATATGTAAATGTACAGTTTACACTGGAATTTTATTGTGCTTTTATTTGATTATTATTAATGTTTAACAAATGTTGTTGAGCATTACTGTTTTTGAAGTTGAATTATGAAGGAATTTTAATTTATTTGAGCAGGAGGCCTGGTACTGCGTGGGGGCCAAGGGACGGCCAGCAACAGGCTACCTGGAGGAGCATCTGAGGTATGTCAGAAAAAAGGAGAAGTCCCTGAGGGTACCAGTAGCTGAAGACGAGGCAGAGTCTCAAAAGCAAGGTATTCTGGCTACTTTTTCATATAGTTAAAGTTATGAGTTATTCAGATCCGGCTGATGAAGTCATGCTGTGCCATAACAAACTGGTGGGGCATGAGCAATGTCAACTAAAACCCCCCTTCCAATACAATCATCAAAAACTTGTTGATACATGCTAATTGTTGATTGTTCTGTTGCATTATATCCAGGAGATACTGATCTTGAGTCTGTGAACGATGATAACATCACGACAATGGAAGAATGGCTGCGTAACAACAAGGAGCCAGAGGACATGGTGAAGGACTACATGAAACAAACAGCAACAAAAAGACATGACTGGATCAAGAGAAGTGACTGTTGTGTGAAGAACATTCTTACCACATATCCCAGACTTCTCGATGCTGGAATGGTATGTGGACCTTGATTTTTCTTCTGCATGTGACAAGAAAGGACATTAAATTAAACTAGAGTCGCATGTTTTGAGAAGTAACTTTTTTGTTTTTTGGTTGCATGGGCAGGTTTACTTTAGCAGTCTCCTTAAAGGGATCGTTTAACAATCTGAGATACACGGTCCTCCAGAAATCGTGCATCCCTATTGAACCGATAATTGTTAGTGTGTACCATTCAAATCCTTGCAAAATGGTAAAGAGAAGATGCAAATGAAAGATATCCTACCTTTAATCTGGCTTCTATAACTATCCTAACAATTACAGATTGAAGGAGATTTTGCAGAATTGTTCCCAGAGAAAGCAAACGCACTGTACCAGAAGTGGCCCACATTCTGTAACAAAGTAGTGGACTTCACCGAGAAAACTGGCAACTGGAGAAGTGCAAGAGCCGAATTCGAAAACATTCATGACCCTGGGAAACTCAGTCTTGGTATGTGGTGTCAGAACACACATTTGACAGTATTAGTGAAAATGACTTGAGAGAAAGTCAAAAGAATTTATTTCAATTACACTATATGATGTTTATTTTTGTGGCCAGGACCAAACATTGAGTCTAATATCCCCCCTGTAAGGAATTGAACTGAAATAAATAAAAGTGCTCTGAAACATATAATACATGTACAACATATGATAAAAACATGATTCCATGACAAAGGTTAAGCATACTTTTACTTGCTTGTTTTGTTTGTTTGCTTTTTGGGGTGGGGATGGTGGTTTAAAGCTCATTGGGAAGGCTATGCTGAAGTTTGTGCAATTTTGATTTTCTTTACTCAGAAAGCTGAGCTCCAAATTACTGACTGACATTTACGTTGAGTGATTTTACCCATATTTGTAGAAAATAATTGTTGTATTCGACCGTTATTTTTAATTTGCTGTATATAACTGTACATTTTGTAAGATGTTCCATAATTGACCTGTTTGCTGTTGCACCTTTTCTTCATATGTAATTGGGACTTAATTACTTAACTCTTTCATTGTTTCCCTCTTTTTAGAGGAAAAGAGCAATCTTGGATTCTACATGCATGCTCCCAGTCTTGTTCCGAGGAAGGAAAGATTCCAAGAGAGGAACGTACACCACTGCAGAAACATTGTCGTCCTTCATTGACGTTCAACCAGTAAGTATATGTGCTGGGGAGGTGGTAAAGTAATGACATGTAAGGCATATATTTTGGTTTGTGTTTAAAATCTTGCCATAGTAATCATATTTCATTACAAACAAATTCAATAGTTAATTTGTTAAGAGTTTCAAACCTAGGACAACTGATGAAATTGAGGTTGAAATGCAATACCTATGTTCTTACCAGATAAGGCATTGCCATAACATTTTATTTGTGTAAAACTTGAAAAGCAACCATTTTCAAGTTCCTAGTAATGGGCACGCTGGTCCCCAAGGAGGCCCTGCAGGGGCAACACTAGGCGCTTTAATCTTAATAAGTCAGTTCGTCATTATCTGTGGTACAACTACAAATGGCCTCAGATTTGTCATCACATCGCATTTCACTCATGAATGCAAGCAAGTCCTTTAACCTGCAAATGACATGTGAAAAATGCATGCTTATATTAACAGGCTGTATATGCCTTCCAGCTTAGTTGATGTAATGCTCTGAACGTGACCAGTTTGGGTACAGTTGACCTTTGCCGCAGGGATATGTAAGAATACCCAGTAATGTTTTGATGGGACAGGGATGAACATGCATAAACAAATTTGGGTGTCCTGTAGGTGATTGTGGATTCATAAGCAGAAGCATTCGACAAGCATCAAATATATATATATCAATCCATATAATTACAAATGATTTCTTCTTGATTTCTCTTTGGACTACAGGAGGTTCTCGACATCCAGACTTATGTTGATAACATTGATGAAGCAGTCAGGTCACAGCCATTTGTTGTTGTGCGTGGGAACATTCTCACACCAATACAGGCGTACGTCGTAGTAGAGAGGAGGATACTTCCTGCTGCAACACTGCTTAAAGCAGTCGACTTGTGCTTTAAGGCACTTTATGTGATGGATATCGAATATCAGCCGCAAAGCTGTTCTGTTTGGAAATTTCTCCAGATTGTGGTGTTCCAGTTTACCGATGGGGAGCATCTTACACCAAAGCTGCGGGAGGTCCGAGCCTTCATGAACATGCCATAAGCCATCATGATGTGTTCACGCCAAGGATGATTACTGGTGATATATTTCCTACAGATGAAACTGACACATCATCGTTTAGCACATTTTGGCTACTTGAACCAGTTTATTTTGGGAGAAAAAAAACTGGAAAAAAGTATTATTTTGGACAAAATAACCTTAAAGACAAACTGTTATGAGTTGGATTCAGCACATTATTTTACATAATTTAGACATGTTTGTGTAAGACTGAAGATTTGAGGGTGGGGTGAGGATCGCTGAATAATATAAAAAAAAGAGTGAATTTATACACAGCAGAAGTCTTTGTGTACATTTTAAAAATGATAAAGGCCTAATTGTTTTATCCCAATCATTGCTTAACATCCCCACCTTGAAAGTTTAAGAAAACAAATGAATATATGCCAAGTATAAATACAAAACATATTATTGGCTATAAATCTTTTGCACTGGCGTATACAAATGCTTATCGTGTTTGGTCTTAATCCCAAGAGTACTGTTTCATAACTCGTACATCAAAATGATATATTTCTTCATAAAACATGAGCTATGATATTTTCTGCGTTTAAAACAGCAAGTGGGGTATATGATTGTAAATTACATATACCATTAATTTTCATGTAATGTGTATCGTCCATTGACCCTACGCTGAACTCTCTGCTGAATGGACTGCATGCATTAATTTACATCGCGCAAAGCAGAAGTAGAGAAGTCAACATTTTCATCTACATTTTGCAAAATTGTATTGATATTATTGATAATATCAATAAAATCAATCAAACTGAGTATAGCAGGTAGGGTCAATTGATTTTTGTTGTCTTTAATCTAATCAAAAAGTTATAGTAGGCAGTGTGTATCCTTGTTATTTGATCAGTACCTGTTCACCATCACAGATAGCCAAACTTTCATGTGGTACTTCTGCACATGTCAAATAATCTAGAGGGATTTGAATTTATTTCCTCTTTTTTTTTCACTTCAAAAAAATGTGTGCATGTGTAACACTCTAAGGCAGAGTATTGGTGTGTCAGGATAAATGAACACTATGCCACACCCACAAAATATATATGATGCACATATTCATGTATGAAATCAGAGTACATGGGATACATACAGTGTACATCAAAGTTGGCATGCTGCACCAAACAGGGGCTATATTTGCATTTACTTTTTTTAAAAGGTTGTATTTTTTTCACCAAAAATTGTAATGTTGTAGTTGATGTCAACAAGTTTTGTTTTTACGTTTCTGATGAAAACAACAACATGTGTTTACTGTGTATGTTATTTGTGTTTCAGTTAAGCAATTATTACCCTTTAGATGAGAAAAAGAGTTGAGCAAATAGATGTTATGGAAAAAATGTTGAGCAATGATTATCCAACAGACGAATTAAAAAGTTGGGCAAATGGATATTGTGGAGAAATAGTTGAGCAATTATTACCCAATAGATGGTTGTTTTGATAGTTGGGCAAATGGATATTGTGGAGAAATAGTTGAGCAATTATTACCCAATAGATGGGTGTTTTGATAGTTGGGCAAATGGATATTGTGGAGAAATAGTTGAGCAATTATTACCCAATAGATGGGTGTTTTGAGAGTTGGGCAAATGGATATTGTGGAGAAATAGTTGAGCAATTATTACCCAATAGATGGGTGTTTTGAGAGTTGGGCAAATGGATATTGTGGAGAAATAGTTGAGCAATTATTACCCAATAGATGGGTGTTTTGAGAGTTGGGCAAATGGATATTGCGGAGAAATTGTTGAGCAATTATTACCCAATAGATGGGTGTTTTGAGAGTTGGGCAAATGGATATTGCGGAGAAATTGTTGAGCAATTATTACCCAATAGATGGGTGTTTTGAGAGTTGGGCAACTGGATATTGCGAAGAAATTGTTGAGCAATTATTACCCAATAGATGGGTGTTTTGAGAGTTGGGCAAATGGATATTGTGGAGAAATAGTTGAGCAATTATTACCCAATAGATGGGTGTTTTGATAGTTGGGCAAATGGATATTGTGGAGAAATAGTTGAGCAATTATTACCCAATAGATGGGTGTTTTGATAGTTGGGCAAATGGATATTGTGGAGAAATTGTTGAGCAATTATTACTCAATATATGGGTGTTTTGAGAGTTGGGCAAATGGATGTTGCAGAGAAATTGTTGAGCAATTATTACCCAATAGATGGGTGTTTTGATAGTTGGGCAGACTGGGAGTTGGGTAAAAACTGGTTGGGCATTTAATTAACCAACATTAAACTTACTCAAAAGTTGGGCAAATAGAAGGTTGGGCAATATCTAACTGGGTAAAATTGGTTGGGCAAGAAATTACCCAACTGAAAATATAACCAACTGTTAGGCAATTGTAGAGTTGGGTAAAATATGATGGGTCACCAACTGATGGGCAATTTGATTTGCCCAACCACATAGCAAACTGATTACCCAACATCAGTTGGGCAGATTTTAACCAATAGTTGTGTGGACCGTATGTTGCTCAGTGTTGGTTAAAAGTTGGGCATTTTTTTGCCCAACTATTTTAAGTGTGTACGCGCTTGTGCTTCATTACCACACACACCTGGGAACACTCCAGCAAAGTATAGAGAGTCAATGCTAATGCGTATTGCTAGCACTGCATACACGCTGTGAGGCAGGGACCTAGAAGTCTATACACAAATATACACACCACACAATATCGCATAGACTCTACACAATCAGTCGATGCAGCTGTAAGCAAAGTTTGACACTAGACTTACAATTTTGATTTTCAAATTATTCTTTTTAACATCAGTAAGTTGAAAAAATGTATTTTACTCCTATTTAGGTGTCATAAATTGTCACTAAAGTACCGATTTTGAGTGAAATCAGTTGAGTTTTGTACAGTGGTGTTTGAAATGATGAGAATCAAAAGCACAGCTTTTACTACACAGCCAGGATAGTGATGCTCCTATGTGTGCCTGGGAAGGGAGCATCCATAAATTTACATTTTACATTTACTTGATAAACATCTTCACGTAGTTCGCCACGTTATCAAGAAAGTGGCGACGCCCATGTCGTGCTGAGAAACTGGTTTCCTGTAGAGGTATTGGCGTAACTAAGCACAACGGTGGCAACTGCAGTATGTGATTCACTTATAGTTATACCCCAATACCCAATTAAGTCGGATTAAAGTCGATCAATCGGTCAGCATTCTGCGCAGTCTGCTAACACAGTGGCGGATCCAGGGGTGGGCCGAAACGGCCGCGCCCCCCCCCCCCTATTGGCGGCGCAAAAAAATTGAGAAGGAAAAAAGAGGAAGAAAAAAAATAAAGGGAGGGGGGGGGGAAGGAGAAGATAAAAGAAAAGAGAACAAAAAAGTAAAGAAAAGAGAGAGAGTTCAAAGAGGAAAGAAAAAGAAGAGGAGCCGGGGAGAAAGAAAGACAACGAAATGGCACTAAAAATTAGTGACAGTAACGACGAATAAGGGAAAGACAAGGGGAAGGGGGTGCGTGAAGGCGGATGCATTGAGGGGAGGGGGGGGGGGGGGGGGGGGTGACTGGCCGTATTCTTATTTTTAGGTTATGCGAAACTGAGTCGAAATTATGCTTCTTTTAAAAAAAATCTTAGCATGCTTGTTTATGTTAAGCCGTAGTGCATGAAAAGGTTAGTGTAGAAACACTTCTGAAAAGGCCGCGCCCGGCCCCTCCAAAGAACGGCAGAATGGTAATCTATAAATTATGGGGTCATTCTTGATGGCTTGGGAGTCGTTATTAAGGAGGGGGCCGGCCCTACTCAAATGGTAGTGACGGTAACGATGGATAAGGGAATAAGGAGGAAGGGATGCACATGCAGGCGCGTACGCAGGGGGGGGGGTCGAACCCCCCTCAAATTTTTGTCAAGTTGTCAAGTTGGTCCTGATGTGTATAATGCGTAGACCAGGGGTTCTCACATTTTTTCTTTGACGGTCCAGAAGCGATTTCTATGAAAGCTGTAAGGTCCGAAATGACACTTGTATACTGAAGATAATGAGGCTTGTTTTTGGTCTATATCTGATCCAAGGAGAATTGTTACAGTTTAAAAAAACAGAACCGCCAGTGCTTCCACTCGTTTAAATAGAGTTTCCCGAAAAATAACACCCAATATCCTGGAATTTGAAGGAATTTTCTTAAAACTTTCAAAATGCCTCTTAAGTGGATTTCTTATTTGGATGAATTTCTTTTTTTATATATATATATTAATTATTGAGTGGGCTTATTTTGCTTTCTAATGGATCCATGCAACATGGCAGAGCTTGAGGAGCTTAATAATAAAAGGGATAAATCCTTCACTGAATAGGGATTCTTGCTATAATGTAACCTTTCTTCGCTCCAGTGATCTCGAGGCAGCAGACAGCAAGAAATTGTGTAAATAATTTGCTGTTGCCGGGTGTCTTGCATGAGGCGGAGCCCAAGGAAGTTCTTGAACTTTAAAAAAAAATTAGGAAATTCCAAATAGTCGTCATGAGCGATAAAAATTGTAATTTCCTCCTTGAGAATCACATAACCCCTTTCATTTCATTTTAGAATTTAACCTCTCTTTCTCTCTTAAAGACAATTTCATATAACTTCTGTTTTCGTATTGTTGTACTTTCGTCCGCAGACTACTTAAGCACATGTCGAGCCAACTCAGTCGGAAATGTAATATGTAGGCGTAAGTGTAAAGTTAAGTTTCATGTTCTTCATTTTTTCTTTCTTTCTTTCTTTCTCTCCCTCTCTCTGTTTCTCTCCTTTTCCTCGATCTTCTTTTTTAAAAACATTATTCTTTCTTTTCTTCTCATTTTTCTGTGTGTGACATGCGTTACGCGTACGTCTATCAATGTCTTAATATGGTAGATTTATATTTTGATGTTTCCCTTTGTAGGTGCACCTTATATTTCAGAAAGTGCCCTTTTTTATGGTGCCCCCCCCCCCCCATGTATTGAATTCGATAAAAAATAAATTTCTCATTAATTCTATTTCCAATATATTTAATACTTGCACTAATCTCCAATTAAAAC